GGAAAAACAAGCCCAAGATCAACACCCGTGTCATTATCGTAACCCTACATATTATACATATTCATATATAGATTACAAATGTAGGAATTTAATTCATAGAGTTTATGAATTCTAAAAATATGCTTTATTTACTCACCACACTACAGAAGTTTCACATTTTCACTTGTCCATCCCGGCGTAACAAGTACCGGTGGTTGTTATATAGTGCCCACTATCTAATACATATTTGTGAATGTATGTCCGTTTGTTTGTCTGTTCTCAATGCAAATGGGAGAGATTGTTCGTGTTTGATCGTGGCGTGCAATTTTTTCGTGGCAAGCCGGTACGGGAGATTCCGACACGCATATATTTGCTAATATATTGAGTTTTTTATTGAAAAATCGTGCGTCAATAAACTCAATATTCACAGAGAGTATAGCTAAGACATGTGTCTATAGGTATCTAGAATATATTATGCAAATGATCTCCCGTACCGGCTTGAATCTGTGAATATTGAGTTTATTGACACACGGTTAGTCAATATATTAGCAGAATATGCCAAATATATGCGCGCGGAAGTGTATTGCAGATGAATAAATTTCTAAAATTCTAGATACCTATAGACACGTCTTAGCTATACTCTCTGTGAATATTGAGTTTATGGACGCACGATTAGTCAATATATTAGCAAATATATGCGTACCGTACCGGCTTGAATATAAACACCGCCGTGCACTTTTGCTCAAAATCTAACGCGATACGCTACAGCCATCTCGCGGCAAGTTTTCACAACAAAAAGGTTCACACGAAGATCATAATATTTAGGACTTTCGGTTCATCTCACATCATGGAAATGTTATCAATATATAGTGATAGGTAACATGTAAACTGTATATGTTATTATTGATTGTGTTTTTCCCCATTTCCCTTCCTTTGATCTTGTCCCTTCGTAATGAGTTCAATTACCACCAACGATAGGCAAAATATACCACAATCAAAACAGCAAGTCGCCAGTTACAAAATGAAAACCACAAGACCTTCGTCGATGATAGAAAATGTACGGGCAACTTTTATTTCCGATATGATTCTGCAAAAAGAAACGTACTCACACCGATCACCTGCGTTAACTCGCACCTTCCCGGTTCCCTTAAGTACAACTTAGAAAACATGAACTGCTGTTTTCAGAAGAAGAAAAATCACATTTCTTCATCGCACCCGAGCAAAAGATTACAGCACACTTCTAACGAAAACAAACGTTTTACGCAGGGGTAGTTGTGAGAAACCGTTATAATCAAATACCTGAACGAATACGGAGCAAACAAAAAAGTATGAACCTCTCTCCGAGGAGCGAACTTGCTAACAGGTATGAATCTATCTCGGCATCAGTTTGATCTATAGAGCAGAGCAGATAAGTAAGTTACGCAAGCGAGATGCCTTAAAATCGGAAACTCAAATCACACAAAAACGGACGCAACCGTGCCGAAACACGTACTGCACACGAAAATCGGCACGCAGTCAGTTAAAAAAAAGCAGCGACAGATTAACCAAGGCAACACACACACACCTATCACCCAAACACCAGCATCTCACGCCAACCACCCACGACACATGTACTGCCTTACGCGAAGGTCACGACAAAGGTCACTCTCGGAGGGTGGTCAACACATTTCCAATTACAGGGATCCGTGACAAGTGACTGACCGACCCAGTGCTAATTAATCGACCCCCCTCCCTTCCAACTTCTCTTTTCTTTCCCACCTCTGCAGCATGAGTAGTGCAGTATGACTGTGTGCAGCTATACATAAATGACCACGTAGATTACTATGTCGTCAAGGGCCTTGCGTGGTCACCTGTACTGTCAATTCGCCAGCGCGCGGGGGTCAGTCACGGGTCAGCCGGGGGTCGCGTGGGTCGGGTGACCTTCATGGGGCTTATGCCGCGTGTCGACTGGCGTGAGATGGGTGGGTTTACCTTCATGGCGTGTCGACTGACGTGAGAGCAATAGTGACGAGCGTATGCCACACGCAGCAGCAGCTGCTGCTGCTACTGGTGGTTGCGGTGCCTTGGCTCAGAAATAACAAGTCGACGTACATTCTACAATCATCGCGGGTAACTGCGGTGCAATGCGACATGTATGCAGCATGAACCCACTTTCTCCCTTCCTCACCGCCTGCACACTACAGGCAGCAGCCCTTTAGCGGATGTTTCCCAAGTTAAGATTCTGCCGATTCTGCCTTTTGCTCAATAACGTGCAAAAGACAAGGCGTCAGTTACCTATTCAGGGCATTCCCCCATTTTTCACTATTCGCATGGCCTACGTACGTAAGTATATATATATATATATATATATATATATATATATATATATACTACACACCTCTACAGATGTGCGTACGAACATCAGGAGAATAGAATGCTTGGGGACATATCGGATTGCACCGCAGGGAGAGATGGCCATTGGGTGTGTCATCGGACCCTGTCTCCCGCACGCACGCACGCACGCACGCACGCACGCACGCACGCACGCACGCACGGTCTGCCCTTCCCCTTCCATCACCATCAATAACGCACGAGCAATTCGCTCTCTTAACTCTTCTGTGCCGCTCGACCGCAGTGTTACAGCTGGATTTAGCCACGCGCAACCGAGTTCGCACGACCTTAGGAAATATCCTCCTTACTGCGTGCACACACGCACGAACGGACACTGATCAAGCTAACGAGGGCGAGATGCTCCCAACTGTAATCACACATGCATACGCACGCACGCACGCACGCACGCACGCACGCACGCACGCACGCACGCACGCACGCACACACACACCTAGGTGATGGGGAAGTTCTTTGCCATCTCATGTACGCGAGGACAGACATTGGCGCGCGTCTGTATCAAGGCTTCATCCTGCCTCCACGTCAATACGTCAAAGACTGGCTTCCAAACTCCTCGGCAACTCATCAGCTTCCACATCCTTGATGAACCATAGGTACCCGAGTGTGCGACGGGAAATCCCCGACACACACCGAGCGAAGCTGGCGAAGGCTAAGCCTCGAAGTCGTCGTGGAAGCAAGATGAAATCGCGACTTCCCCTACCTCCGATTCACTTCCCGAGTCGTCATTGACACTATCTCACGTCGGCGGCGGCGCCGCCGCCGGCAATGGCAAAATTCCTCGCTGAACGCGAGGTCTAACCCTTCTTCCTCCACTCTCCTGCACGTGCAGCATCAACCTCCAGATCAGTGGAGATCGTGACGTACACGAGAGGGCGAGTGTGGGTCTTAGAGTAGGTAAGCGACGAGGTAGACCCAGAGGCGATGACGGTCGCATGGTTTCATCTTTCCTGCTGCGCATACCTCATCGCTTACACACAAGTGATCGCAACGGAACATCCGAACCATTACCGTCCATTGCACGTTCTAGCTTTCAATCACTAACTTTTTAATTTTCCTCTCACTTAAGTTCGAATGATCCATCTGCGATTGTCACGGCACTTACGTGTTAAACCGATCAATGGTGAGCAAGTGTAAAACCATTGCAATTGGCCAGCAAAAATGCTGCGAAGACCGTAACCTGAATCGAAGCGAAATAACGAGATCGCTCTCTGGTAGGTTGGTGATTCGGGTATTGTCAGTCACTGGTAACCTCACTTACATAGACGTGAACATCACACATCGAATCGTACACGTTTTACCTACCACAATACCGCCAATCAGCTCACATGTCGGTTGACAATAAGGTCACTTCGACGATGACAGCACTGCCCGTCGCTGGTAAGAAGGCGACATCAAGCTTCTCTCATGAAGCCAGCATCCCCCACCCCGTGCGCAAACTCCGCATCCCTGTAGCATCCCTGCTGTGGCTGGCCAGCCGGACGCTACTCACACTCTGCACACGAGGCGATGCCGACATACGTACAGACGACGAGGGGACACACGTCGCACAGGCGCCCGTTCTGCTGCAAGCATCCTCCTGCTGTAACCCCCCACCCGCCCGCCCACCGGAGAGGAGCGGTAAGACAGGAGGTGGGAGGTTTCCCCTCGTCACGTGCATACCTCCCTACTAACCCTGCGAGGGGAGGTGAGAACCATTTGCCTTGGTCCCCCGCCCCCACCCCACAACCCCCAACACGAAGGGGATAGGTGCAGTCAGAACTGCCCCTTCCGAATTCTCACCAATTCCTCCTGCGTACATCACTTCTAAATTCCCGCTACTACACCGCTTCGTGTAGCGGGATGCGCGGACGATCCGACTGCAGGGACGTTAACATCTCGAATCGATAGGATGAAAATTCCTACTCGTCGGATGCGACCAACCATATGCCGACTAATACTGCAATAAAACATCTTAAAAACCCAATGCTTGGCAACGAACTTGCCCCAAAAAAACGACAATTTGCATCCGTGCGTTTTTCGCTGCACTACTGCACTTTCAGCTCTAGCTTGACCAAACTAGTGACAATGTCCAAAGGGAGATGGACACGTCAATTCGACAATTGAGGTATGCGAACAAATGCTCGCACCTATGTGGGGAGGGATGATGGAAGCGAGTCAAGTTGATCGCACTCATGTGTCAAACTACACAACTTTCATTTTTCTCGATGCAAACTCATCTCTCTTTCTGAGTGTCTTTGACACTACAGAGAGACGAGTGCAATCGCGGGCGTCCCTGCAGTCGGACTCAAGTCTCCACGACTAATGCATATTTTCTCTCAGGTGCGCGACTGCATACCACGCGACAACGCATGCCCCTCCCCCGTATCTACAGCATTCTCACTTGGTTTCTCATCTATGCAAGTGCCCTCCGTGTTACGACACTAAAACCTACAGGTTACCATGCACTACAACTGCAGGGAAAACTGTGGCCGTCTCCCTGCTGAAGAATAGCACACAGCCATCGTCAGCACTACTACAGTAATATCAGCTCTTAGTCTCTGGTTACACATTGTAACAGTGCTGATTGTTACCGTAGAATGACAATGTTTCCTACGATAGCTCTAGCTGGATCTCCATCTACCGCTTTTCTGTGTATAGCAGACACATGAGCATGTGCACAAACACGATGGGAGGGGAGGGGCACGCGGGGATCCAAGTAGGACCAACTGGCAAATTCCTGTCCCCAAGGAATCATGCGTTATGCAGTCGGCGACCTCATCGCCCGACTTCTTCGTCAACGAATGAATGGACAAGTCGGCAGTGTCTTCACCATTAGTATTTACAACACGCTGTACCTCGCACACTCTAGCCCACATCCAGAGGAAATCCCGGCCACATGTTGTCGTGGCAACGTGGCCAACAGGACGCACAGAGGGTGACAAGAGACAGCACATTTTGACGGTCCCGCCCAAATTCCTGTTAGTCGTAGGCGTAGACCAAGCATCTGTGGCGACTCCTGAACCCTGACGGCATGCCCCTTGCCGACACGTTGCGTGACACCTGCTATATCATCACTCACTGTCACGCTGGATCTCTCCCTCTCTCTCTCTCTCTCCCTCTCTCTCTCATGGCATGTGTAAAAATTTCTTTCTTTCCCTGCACACGTGGCAATCGCGTCACGTTTGGCCGGTGACGCGCGAGTCGCGTACGTGCGCCAATGCTGCCCTTATTCCGTTAAGTCGTGGGCGAGCAAATTCGATTGCGGCGACACGCGACCCTGCTCCTCAAGGCAGGAACATCGCGGCGACAGACGTGACAGCACCTCCCTACTTACACACTGCCACTCCCGCTAAACCGATGTCCCTCATATTCGTGGACATGCAACAATCTGTACGTTGGAGGTGCGGCGAGAGCGTGCGAGGCATGAACGAAACGATGACTGCCGAATCCGATTACAAAAAAATATATCTTACAAATCTTCGCGTAGTGTCGGCCAAGGATATTCACCTGGTGAACCGAACCCCCACCCGATGCAAAGACAGCCGCCGTGTGCAAAACCACAACGGGGATATAACGTCGTAACTCCTCCCAGAAACTGTTGAGAGCTGGGGTCACCTCCTCCTACTCATCATCTCGCTTTGCGTGAGAGCGCATTCTCACGGGGGCACATGCCTCCTGCAGAGCATACCTCCGCCGGTGGTAATTCCTAGGCGGAGAACTCTACGACTGCGGCATGCGCTGTCACACATGCATCGCTGACACACATGCAGCCACGATGCGATACAGCTGGATGGAAAACTGAATGTACACGTGCAAACGATGGATGCCCGAGATAAGGACTGGACTCCGCCCCGCACCCCCGACGAGGGACAAATAGACCTCTGTGACTCATCGTCGGTGGCTGACTGTACTCGTCCGAGAGATGCCCGAGAAAGGTTTGTGGCCGCCTAGCACGCACAAAACATGCCGCGCAAACGACAGAATGGCCTCTCTTGGTTGCTCTCTTGCTTGAGAGGGATTCCGACAAACGAAAGTTAAACGTATCAATAACTATATTTACAGAGACCTCGACCCAGGTCACAGTGACACGATGCAGGTCACGATGGCACGCCCGAGGTCACGGTGACACGACGCAGGTCGCGATGGCACGCCCGAGGTCACGGTGACACGAATGAGGTCACAATGGCACGACCGAGGTCACGGTGACACGACGCAGGTCGCGACGGCACGCCCGAGGTCACGGTGACACGACGCAGGTCGCGATGGTACGCCCGAGGTCACGGTGACACAACGCAGATCGCGATGGCACGCCCGAGGTCACGGTGACACAACGCAGATCGCGATGGCACGCCCGAGGTCACGGTGACACGACCGAGGTCACAATGGCACGACCCAGGTCGCGATGGCACGCCCGAGGTCACGGTGACACGACGCAGGTCGCGGTGGCACGACGCAGGTCGCGATGGCACGGTACAGTTCGTGATGGCACGGCCCAGGTCGCGATGGCATGACGCAGGTCGCAATGGCACGACCGTGGTAACTTTGGCTTTACCTAACGATGGCGATGCACTTGTATCACAAAGTCGTCCACAGTCCTGATTCGGTCACCACTCGTCCACCGTCGCATCGATCCGCCGCGGGTGCTGAACACGAACGCGTGCATCGACATAACTTTGTAAAAAAAATAAGTGGAGATGGCATGGCACGCACACGCCACCTGGTGACAAGAGCCACTCATGGCACAAGCATGTGCGACATAAGTGTTCCACTCGAATTCCGGCGGGTTGTTTGGCAGGTCACAGGTCATACTGTGTCAGATAGTCTGTGCACAAACACGAGTTTGTGTGCAGTGCCGGCGCATCCTCTTCCTCCTCGCTTCCGCTCACAGAAACACCTGCAGCTCCCTCTCTTTATCAGGAAAAGGAAATTCTCGGGTGCTTTTTCCCTCGCACCACGTACATCCGACGAAGCAATGTTGAGGTGAGCAAACAGGAAAGCGAAAAGGAAGAGAAGGGACGCCGGGCAGCGTTTTACGCACACGCGACAAACAGATGCGCGGTGGTGGTTGTGTGTAGCAATTCGATGAAGAACTTGTTGATGATGACGAATACAGATGGTAGTTACTGCTTCGTCGGCTGCCGATTATTCATGAGCGTGTATGGTATGTAATTTTCATCGACCCATATCTGTGGAAAAAAACACATGAAGTTCGTGAGATAGAATACTAGAGATAGACGACTAGAAATGATTCTGTTCTTGTAGGCTCAGCTGTACCTGACAGAATTATAGGCCTGGATTGATAGCTCTAGCAAATCATTGTTGCAATAGGAAGTTACCAAACTGCTTCCAAGCAATGAAGCGGCACACAGTCAACAATGTGGAGTACACGGGTGAATAACACGTGTGCACTTAAATATGCAACAGCAGGGAGAGGGCAGGGGCATTCACACACAGCAGAGGGAGTAAAGAAAATCCACAGAACAGCAGAGGGAGTGAAGACAATCCACAGAACAGCAGAGGGAGTGAGGACAATAAACAGAAACAGCAGCGCTACTTCTGGCACCCACCAGATGAGCGAGATGACGATGCGAACAGATAGCTGGGAGCAGACTAGTTCTCTTGCTCCTCGTCTGCTTCCGAGTGAAACTCCGCAACATACAGGGCCTTGTCGATCTCCTTCGGAATTGGCTTGATCTCCGTTCCCAGCTCCTACGAAACAATGCGCAAACACGTTGGTTCTTAGTTCGTCATCGCACAAGAAATGTTATAATTGGTTCTCAATTCATAAACATGCATATTTTTGGTGTGCAATGGTGGCGAGGAATACACGTGTGTGGTCTCGACTTCTGAACGTGCATGTTTTTAGCATCGGCTCAGACGAGGGACATAGACGCGGGTTATTATAGCCTGTAAATACACTAGCTCTCAGAAATTCAACATACGAGGAATGTCCCATAGATTCATGAGGAACAGGTCCCGTTCTCAACTCCTGAGCGAATGAGTTCTCACGACTCGACAACTCCAAAGAACGCTAAAGCAGTCTAACCACGTGACGGTGCATTGCGGTTCTTAGCCCTTGATCATATAAGAAACAACTGCCACCCCCCGAAGGAATAACCGAATAAACAAACAAACGAATGAATGCACAAACATCACACTCTTGTGTGCAGACTCACGTTCTCAATCTTGTGCAGGCAGAAGCGGTCTTCATATGTGATCAGGTTGATGGAGATGCCGAGGTGGCCGTAGCGGCCTGACCGGCCGATGCGATGTAGGTACGTCTCCGCCATCTTGGGAAAGTCAAAGTTGATGACGACATTGACTGCCTGGATGTCAATGCCGCGTGTAAAGAGATCTGCAAGAGAGCGCAAGACACAATGATCGGATAACCGCGTATGAAGAGATCTACAGTAAGCATGCAACGCTTTTATTAAACATCCATCATTTTGAAAGTAATTATTACGAGTTTTCCAGCATTTTCACCACTTCAATGATACCTACCGTTATTGCTTGAGTAACAGCAATTGTCTAGAGTAACAATAAAATGTCTTAGAACCTTCGTATTTACCAAAACATGCAATTTTCAAACTACTAGTTTGGTAAACAATCGTTTGCTGTAATCTTAAAACTAGAGCGGGTGGTATGGATTAGCTAGTAGCGCCGCCGCCTATCTGCCATAGATATAGTACAGTCTCTCTCAAATGCACTTGTTTTCAATTAATCACCGACAATTTACAAGTTTACCAATTCTGCCATTACCGCGATACGATAAAATTCATTGCTGTTACGATATGTTCATATCCAATTTTCTATGCTATAACTGCATAAAATCTTAGTGTTTTTAATGTTGGTGTAATCAGTGATATTTCCGCTGTCAGGTGAGACTATATTCAGCTATATTTTTTTCGGTTCGAGTGTTTCTGAGCAAAAACCTCGTAATAATCAGTTGAAAGTACTACACCTTAGTGTAAAAAGTATCAGGAGAGATCAGAGGTTAAGCAGCTGCAGACTCGCTAGTCTCACAACCTGTTCGAACTACAACATACACAGCATCATCAGGGGTCAAAATTCGCTAAAAAAACACTTGCGCATGCCGCAAGTTAGGTTAAACAATTACTTGCGGCAAGAGTTTTTACTTGCACCTACCTACCTCTGTTGCTCTCCAAACTGGCAGTACCCCTTCCCTTCCTCCCTGTCTTAGTTTATGATTTATTCTATGTCTTCTGTGTCTTCCTGCTCTGATTCAGAGTCATTTACGCTTCAATTTCGTACAGAAATCAAAATAAAATGGGTCGGACTTCTAAATACGTAAGTAGCTGGCATATTGTTGACTTGCAGCAGCCGCAAGTTGCTACGAAACATCGCTTGCGTTCGGTCAAAATCACTTGTGTTGCGCAATCACTATATAGCGAATTTCGACTCCTGCATCCCCTTTATTTTAATCAGGTGCACTTGTTTTGAAGGTGCACGGACGGACAGACGCTCATGCGATTCTACAAGCTGCATCTGACTATGCAAGACGAGCTAAAAAATTAGCTGGCCCCGCTCAAAAGCTACCACGCCGGGTACTGGGGGAGGGGCTGCCATTTCTAAGGCTGATAACACGCAGTCGCTCCTACTGATGCGACTTACCGGTGCAGACGAGGTTGCGGCACATGCCAGCGCGGAAGTCGTGGAACACCTTGTTGCGGTGCGGCTGGGCCATCTTAGCGTGGATGTAGTAGCAGGAGTAGCCGAGCTCCGTTATCTTCTTCGCCAGCAGCTCGACACGCTGCGACGAGTTGCAGAAGATGATCGACTGGTTGATCTGGAGCTATGAGTATAGAGAAGCCACATGTGTCAACACAGATGGACAGCACATAATACACATGTAATTACAGAAAACACACACTCACACGCATATCCACGCACGCACGCACACATGAACACACACGCACGCACACATCAACACACGTACGAACATGCACGCACGCACGCAAGAACACGCACACACGTACGAACACGCACACACGCAGGAACATGCACGCACGTACGAACACGCACGCACGCACGATATATCGTCATTTCGATCAATACGCATGCACTCACAAGCACTGATCATACGTGTACCAACAGATCAACAAAGACACATGCCAGGGTCGCACGCACGGACACGCTGCTCGTATCGAGTGAATACAGACCTTTGAGAACAGTGTGTTGAGGCAGTGAACCTTCTGCCGCTCCTGCACGAAAGCATAGTATTGCGTGACTCCCTTCAGCGTTAACTCATCCATGAGGTTCACTTCGTATGGGTTATGCAGATGTTTCCTCTATAAGTAGACAGGAGCAATGAGCATATCAACCAGAGTCGTAGCCCCTGGGCCCAGGGGGGCAATTGGTTGGAAGGGGGAGCAAGGGGCCAGTTGCTCTCCCAGATTTGGTAGAAAAATATGATAAAGCCTAAGAAAGATAAATAACTCTATAATAAGGTTAATTCATCACAGTGATCTGTGACTTATCCAATAATGCCCGTCTCCCAATAAATTGCTCAGGGTAATGCACTCTTAACAAACCGAATCAACAAACTCAGTGATCAATGCACAATATCCAAGTAACTTTGAAAACAACAATCAGGAATATGTGGATACAGTCAATATGTCAGGCAAAGCACTAGAGCAACTACAACCTACCATCAGAAACATGATCTGTCGACATGTGGCTCTCACATAACAAATACAATGGGGATGCAACGTCCCAAGTTGTACCATAGTTAGTACCAATAGTTGGTACGAAAGTATACTGTTCGAAGTAACAGTGATACTGTTCATGCAAGCATCCATACAAAGCTGAAGTCGTTTCCAAAAGTATAACTTGTAACCAAAAGCTACCATTACAAACGCATTCGCTCGACATTCGACTCTCACGTAAGAAGAATCGGTGAAACATACCATGAATGATTCGACAGTCACTGGGAATGTTGCTGAGAAGAGCAAAATCTGTCGGTTATGCGGCAAATGATCGATGATTTGGTCCAACATGTTTTTGAAGTCCTGCGAGAGCAACTTGTCTGCCTGCAATTCCAAGTTTTGTCATTTGTTTTATATTCTGTACTAGACCCAAGGACATCACGTCATATGACTGTCAGAACAATGAGAGTACATGGAACACTCAACTTTTCTTAATTACCCTCAATGACCAAAATCCATCTGGTAAGCTACACCACTCCCCTTAAACACTGTTGCTCAGGTGGTAAACTTGTTTAGACACTTTTCACGCATGCACATCAAAATGCTGACTTCAAAGCACTTCGTTGCTAAACATCATTTTTAGAATACCTATCACAACAATGATTGGATAGAGCAGTCTACCAATCAGCTAGACAGGTCAATTATTGTTGTTAAGAAAAAGAATCAGAAAATGTAGCATGCATTTCGGAAGATCAGGATTTCATGATTACCCTTTAAGACACACCTTCCAGTACAACATGGACACTATCAACATGTTACAAGAGCAGTGTTCCAAATTAAGGGCAACAAGCAGCAATTTTTCTGCCCTTAAGTGTTAGTTTGCTGCCTGGTCTCAGTAAATAGTAGTAGGCAACAAAATACTTGCAGCCAAGAATTCTGAATTAACCAAAGTAAAAGCACCAACTTTACAAGCAATTTCGATTTAAAAACGATGGGCAGTTTCTCAAGATTGCTTTTTTTTAAATAGTGCCGAACCTATATTACTGTCCGTACTTCTGTTCAATGTGCAACTTCTGTTAGATATGGGCAACTATATTTATAATGAATGAATAAGGGGAAACAGGGCTAGAAGGCCAAACCAGCATCCTCACAGACAGGGGTGATAGGACTGTACTGCTGCTATGGTTTTCTCATGTTTCTGCCTAGCCGAGTAAGTTTGCTGCCTGTTTTTTTTCTGTAAAAAAAGTTCATTTCTTACCCTGTAGAGTAAGTCCACTGTGACATACTACCACGGTACAAGCAATATAAGCACGGTTACACCCTATCACGGTACAAGCATCATTAGTTATTACCGCAGTACATCAACCAGTTAACAACAGTCTTGCCGTGTGAATTCGTTACTATTTCGCGAGTGGCCATCGTATGACATACCTCATCCAATACGAGTATATTGCAATCAACCATCTTTGCCACGTTCTTGCAGATCAGGTCTAGAATTCGGCCAGGAGTCGCAATGATCACATGGACTGTAATAGGAATACACATCGCAGTCTTAGACGACGATAGTACGCACACTAGCATTACCTAGCTAAAACAGGCTTCCAAGTGTGTCTATAGACATGGTATTCTGCAAGACTACCAGCCCAGGCCTATTGAGTAAAATGTTATTGAGTAAAATGTTGAGCACGTGTAATTTTAGTGAAAAATTTTGCCATCTACTGCCTGTGCAATCTTTACAAACTATCTATAATATAGTTTAGATTCTATATGATGCTCAGTCAATCCTCCTCTTATCCCCTTAGGATACAGTAGAACCCTGCTTTTACGCAACGTGCAATAATGTAAATTCATATATATCACGATGATCAATTGGGCCCCCCTTTCCCCTCATTTTTGTTATCAACTCTATTAAGCTTGTGAACTTGTTACTGTGTGAAGTCTCCGTAAAACATCATACTGTGTGAAGTCTCCGTAAAACATCAGAGCAACACAGTCCCATACGTCCCCATGTTGGCCCAAGGAGTAAAAGAAACCAACACACAGTTGTCACACGAAGACCTCCCTCTACGGTGTGCGCGAGATTGCCTCTCACCTTTCTCGTATAGCCTCATGATGTCATCTTTCAGGCTGGTGCCGCCTGTTGTTACCATCACCTTGATGCCGAGATGTGCCGACAGCTCGATGCAAATCTGACTAGTTTGTAGGGCCAGTTCCCTCGTTGGCACAATCACCATTGCTGAGGCAGACATGCAAAACCATTAAACACAGTGAAGTGCAACCGTGTACGTTTACTATAAACAACAGTGCAATCTAATGCTGGACAGGTATCGTACTAGTGTGGTGGCTTAACCCACTCAATGCATAATCTAATCCTGCCTAATCCTGCACCCATGTACTAGACTAGTGCTTTTGTTTTTAAAGACGTGTCACCTATCGTGCTAGTGTGAGGGTTTACTACAAACATTATGTAACTGTGTCATCCACACTGTCAACTAGTGCTGTAACGGTTAAATGCGGTTAACCGAAAACCGCGGTTTTTGCGCCACCATTCGGATATTCGAACCGTCGTTCCGTTTTCGGCTCGGTTTCGGTTCCACATTTTATATATACCCGATATATACGCTTTTGAGATACGCGCACTGCGATTGGCTGGTCGTAAACTCTTGGCCAATCAGCGAGCAGATAACATTGATAGACCACTTGCTACATGCCACGAGAAGGCCAACGCGTTCATTTTGTCTGCAAAAATGACCCTATTTGCCTATTTGGTTACTTTTACTGAAGTCAAATATTAAAATTTCCTGTACAAAGGTTTTGTTGAATTTGCCCTAACATTTGGGTATTGTATATTAAAGGTTTGTTGTTCAAAGAATTTTAGTGACATTATTATTTAATATTTATAAACCAGTCTGATTATTAAATTTGCACTTCTGTTTGGTGTTATAAGATTTGTAATTGATCGCAAATATTCGAACCGAAAATAACCGAACCGAAGTGTGAAAACCGAAAACCGAACCGAACCGTGAAGTTGTGATTCGTTGCACCCCTAGTGTCAACTACAGACTAATCTAACATTGTCTATTCTATTAAACTGACCCGCACAGCCTAACCAGGCCACAATTAAAAAAATCTTTGTTTGCCCTCACCCGACCCAGGCTGAAATGTTTGGGTAGGTAGGTAGGCTTTTATTAGGGCAGGGGTCTTTTTACAAATTCAGCATGGTGTCTACATGCTCGGGTGGGCTTGTGCAATGTGTGTGGAGATACCTTTTATGTTAAATGTTTGTTTTGCTTGGTACATATAATGTATTGCCTACAGATTTAGATAAATGTACAGTCGTACAATTTGTTAAAAAATAAATAAAAACATAATAAAATAAATAAAAAATCAATAATTTTTTTTGAGTCGGCCCCTTTTTGGCGGGTCGGTCGGGTGAGGGCAAACAAACAAGAGCACCCTTAAAAAATTGTTTGTTTCCCCTTTACCTACTCGCCTCTCAGGGTACCGAGTAGGTAGGTAAGTGGAAAAAATTTTTTTTGACAAGATGTGTGTATGTATATTGTATATTCTGTTTTGTGAATATGTTTTTGCGGAACAAATTTGATTTTTTTTTTTGGCAAAACGAAATAAATTTTGTTTTGTTTTAATCGGCCAATAAAATGTGTCGAGTAGCGGCGAGTCGGTCGGTGAAGGGGAAACAAGCAATATTTTATCTTAGGCCCAATATTTTTATTATGGCCCCACTGCACATTCTACACTGTAAGAAGCAATCACAAACTATGTAGCCCTCACTTACCTTGTATTTTATCGAAGGTAGGGTCCACCCTCTCGAGCACAGGGATGGCATACGCGCCGGTCTTTCCTGTGCCGTTCTTTGCGCGGGCGAGAATGTCGCGTCCGGTCAGCGCAATAGGAATGCTCGCCTCCTGTATCGGCGAGGGGCACTCCCAGCCCTTCTCAAAGATGCCCATCAGCAACGGCCGCTTTAGACAGAAGTCCTCAAAGTCGTTGCCTTTCGTGTCCGTGACATCCTGCAGCAGACGAGCGAATACGTTAGCTGTTGGCAGCACGTCAACTGTTAGTCGCCTTGAATTCCAGCTGCTATGATGCACCAGCGTTAATTGTTACCCACATTAGTTGTTAGCCACATTTACAAGCACTATTACCAGCACTTCGTTGTCAGCCATGCTAACTGTTACCCATAGTAGTTATAACCGGCCTTAGTTGATAGCTACATAGCTTCTTTGGTAGAAATAGCATGTAATTATGGTGACGAATAAAAGTCAATGAATCGAAATATATACGCAAACAGACTTCAATGATATTGGAGCAATCTCTCCATGGGCAAGCTTGGTGAACAAGACCTGGTCTAGTTCTCAGTTTAAAAAGCCACACAACAAAATCTAATCACACTTCAGTTGACACGCTCGATCCCTCCCGTGAAACTCGATAAAACCCTAGTCTATACAATGTTGCCGTAAAAGGGTGGCAATGTGAAGATGCTCAGATAAGGTCAACCTGATAACAAGTGCCGCAGAGCGACAGCGCTCAACTGACGTGTACTGTAGCCGGGTATTCTTCTGATAAACTCGCTGGCAACCGAATCAAGTGCGCCCTCCCGCAACCGCGTTGATAGGCTTTGCTATACCGGTAGTACAGTAATAAAGATATAGCTGTGTAACTTGAATGACTTCGCTATATTAACGTTATCATGGATATATGCGTCGAGCGCGAGCGTAGTGGTGGTAGTGGGGGGAGGGTGTTGGTGGAGGGTGGGGGAAGGAGCACGTGGAGGGGGCTCTAATAGTAAAAGCAGTTCAGTCCTTTGTTAACAGTCAACAAATCCATGTTTAACGCTCCTCTTGAGGGTCAAAAGGTTATCAGACACTTACTCTTCGCACGTCAGCGGAAAGTAGATTTCACGGTCCTTCCGATAAAGTGATAAAAATGGTAGGTCAGCACTGAACAAAAAAAGTTTTTGCACTCGGTCCGTTAGACCATGTCCTCAGAAAATGTCTGATATCTGACCTTTCCTCCACTGCCCTTCTGTGACCTCCAATTTGGCGCTGGTGATGGGTTTCCTCCCCATCACACTATACATCAAATATTAAGAGCGTAAGTCGAGCCGTTGAGATTTGTGCCGCAATTCCGTATTTCCTCCTATACCTTCAGTTAAGGGGGAAATATTCCCCCTCCATTGACACATGTTGACCTTTGACCCCCAAAATCGACATCCCGAGTCCTTTTCGCGATCCTCCCCGACGTCCTGACCAGGGCTCGAATTAACCGACGGCACCGACGGCAATGCGTCGGTGCCCCTATCACATTGCCGTACTGCCCTGAAAATCCAACTCGACCGACGGCAGTCACCTGCCTTGCCCTTTTGTGTAATTGCCGTCGCGTGCCCTTTAATCTACTGCCTAGTTTGTTTTTAGTCGAATAAACATAACACGTGCGCGTGCGTGCTGTAGTTGCAATGATGAGCTAAAACGATAGTCGCAGGAGGAGTAATAACGGCATCGGATAATTATTTGCTCCTGATAGGCGGGCATGTAAAATTTCTTGTTACTGTACTTCCATTAGCAGAGGTGGGTACAGGGGGTCATTGTTACGGTGTAAGCTTACATGGGGGCATATTGTTTTGTAAGCAAGACGATGTTGATGTACTAATTTGTTTTGAGTTTTCCTTTATTTTATAAAAGTGCCTTGCTCCCTTCTCAAATTTTGAGAGTTGCCTTGGTGCCTTTCCATTTTAGAGAAATTCAAGGCGATTCTCACATGCCCTAAAAAAATTGCCTTGCCCTTCTCGTCGCTTAATTCGAGCCCTGGTCCTGACTATCAAGATCGTACGTCGCGCGGTTAAGTAAGCGCTCGTGTATGCCGTGGTAGAATACGAATTGCTGCACGTGAACTCGGCCCACGCTGCGCGATTTAAAGCGCAGGAAACAGCATCTATGAATTCATACGATGACACTCTTATCTAAATAAAGTTTCCAAAACAATGGTCTGGTCTGGCTAGTGAAAGTTAGGTCAGGTGCTAGTGTTTTCCACAGTTACTAGCCCGATGGTGCAGGAAATAAAAAGTTAAATGTTGAACCCGTGGTGACACAGGGGCAAAAAATACACGGGGGCGGGCGGCGATTTTCGCCTCACGAAATGACCAAAAAAGATGCCCCAGAAAAATACGATATCTAGGCGACCCAAAAGCAAAAGTCGCCCTGGAAATCGATTGTCCAGGTCGGCCCGCCGCCTTGCCGAGTGCTCGGCTCGGCCTCGCCGCTACGCGCAGCCGGGGTTCACGGCGGCGTGTAGAATCCTAGGTACGGTGTGGGCTGTTCAAGTGTTTATCATTAAGCATGCATTGTTGTATTTGCATTCAATCAAGCGCGCGCGCCGCCGCCCGCGCGTATATATACGTGTGTGCTGATGGCGCGTGCTTGCGTGGTGCCTGCGAGCCGGTGCGTTGCTGTGCCGGTTGTGCCTGCAGGCGTGTGCTTGCGTCGTTGGCCTGCCGGTGCGTGCCTGGCGCGCGTGTGTGCCTGCGCGGCGGCGGTGCGTGCGGGCGTGCCTGTTGTGTGCCGGTGTGCCTGCTGGCGTGCTTGCGTGTGTTGCCTGCGGCGCTGTCGTGCGTGGCGTGCGTGCGGGCCTGCATGCGTGCGTGCGTGTGTGCGGTGTGCCTGCGGGCGTGCCTACGTAGAACCCGTAGGACCAACGACCCGTAGGATTATTAGAACGGCTAATCCATGGAAAATCCTAATGAAATTCACACGTATATTTTGCCCTGCCGGCACACTCGTGTGTCATTCCCGACTGTAGCTTTTTTTGTCAATTCCCCGAAAGAGTTTTTGCTGCCGCTCTCTCATTAGTCCAGCAATGCCAACCCTCTAAATTTTAGTAGTGATTAGTACCACGCTGAAACAATCGTGCCCCCCCCCATACTTTCAATCAATGCCGCCCCTGCCAGCAGGCACGTACGCAGCGTCGATGTGCACAGCCATACACACGTGCCTCGCGGGCCGCTTTCTCAAACCCCCTGAGCTTCCAGGGCCCTTACGCGGGCCTTGACCCCAGCCGCAAGAGACTTCGCGTATAAACAATGCGATCCTCCTAGCTCGTACAGGCGGACATTCCACTATTTGGGCTAGCCGTATATAGTTCTGTGTTTAGCTGAACCTGTGATGTATTCACTATTCAAGTGCATTTGTGGTTGTGACTTGTGAGTTGTGATATCATGTTAGATCTGTCAGTCTGATGAATAACTGTCTTGAATATTGACTGGTGTGTCTGTGTGTGTGTGTGTGTCGTGTCTGTGTGTGTCTGTGTTGTGTGTGTGTGTGTGGGTGTGGCTGTGCGTGCGTGCGCGTGCGTGCGTGCGTGTGCCTGCGTGTGACGTGTGTGTGGTGTGTGCGCGCCCCACGAGTGTGTATTAGCTACTGTGCTTGTGTTACATTTGAGGAAACAGCCTGGAAAAAGTCGCGCTGGAAAGTGGAAAAAGAGCCCTGGAAAATGAAAAAGTAGCCACGAAATTTTGGGGGGGTTTGCAAAAGGAGCCCCGGAAAGAAAAAAATTAATTTTTCACTGCTGGTGACTCTAACGCGGCACTCAGAGTGATTCTACAGCTCAGGGTTCTCCCTACGTTGCGCAAACGGGGCGCGCGCCAGCCCCGTTTGTGGGAAAACTCCCCTGTTTGAATCGTTGCGCCCCGTTTAAATTACCTCCGACCCCGTTTAAATCCACCCACATGAAAGTTTGCCAGCGCGGGAATCGATTCCTGCAAGAATTGCATCCGACGCGTGTATTTTTACCGTAGCACGCATGCACTGCAGACAGTACGTGTACAAGTTAACCTGACAATGCACAGTACTGTCACTAACTGTACAGCCGACTCGCGCTATCTTATATATACAAGAACCCCAAATACCGTCTATGGTGTGGTGGCAATTTTACGCATTGATTAGTCGTACGGTAAAAATACACCACTCCCCCCACCCCCCTAGTTTTCCCCCCTTCACCCCCCCTCTCACCCTTACCCCTCCCCTCCCCCTGTTTGAATTTCATCCTGGGGAGAACCCTGCAGCTATAAACGAATGTAAGCGAAGGATCATTTACTAGCAAATGGGGGAATCAATTGTTGTTCACAGCTCAATATCATACGCAAGAGGAAAGGTAATCGCTTGCACTGTCTCTCAAGGGTAGATACTTACAGAGGTTCTGTATCTGGTGTCTTTAGGAGGAACCTTGAGCTTTGACTTCCATGTCCCATCAGATGCCCTCTCTCCAAATTGCCTAAAACCAAATGTGAGAATCAATGCTTGTACTCCTAAAGACAGTGTTGGAAATAGTATCCCCCCACCCATCAGGGTCTGAAAACGTTTGAGCAGAACTGGGTAAACTTTATGGATTTTACAACAGGTTACATAATAATAATCAAGTTTTGAAATCAGGACTGGCTAGGGTTTCAGATTTATTTCTACGACTACTCAAGATTAATCCATTATAACAGATATATTTTTGAGCCTACTCGATAAATCTAATGTGCCCAAACCTACAATGTGGAAAATCTATTTGCAGACCTGTCACTCCAAAAATTCTGAGTGCCAAACGCTGCATCACACAACGAGCCTTGTGGCAAAGAGATCGAAAATTCCGGGCGAGTTCCTACCCCTTTCTAGCAGTGTCCGACCGCGTTGCCGGCGTGGAGTTTAGGAGGACTGTCTTGCTAGTGACGTATGTGTTCGGTCCGCCGTTGGCTGTGTTCTGCAGCATCGCATTGCAATTGCCTTCTTTTGAAGGACTCAGTGACATGTTGGTGACTCTTGAGCTCGCACACGTGTTCGATCTAACCCTGGACGATGAGTTAACTACTTTACAGCATTAATATCACTTGTGGCGTGTGCGCGCACACACAGGAATCACGGCCCTGGAGCGTCTTGATCAGTTCACAAACGATGCAACTTTGCAGAAAGTTCTGTGGCGACTCTTCTAGGTTTGCACTGCAGTAAGTAGTCTCGTGCGGCTACAGGCCTCCAACTCCTCCTCTGCTTCCTCCTTTAACGCTGCCAGACTACTACACCTCAAACGAAGAAAACCAAATTGTCTCTCAGTCTCAAGAACGTTTTTCCCTACTCTTTCTTACACACGCACACACACACACACATATATAAATACTACAGTGGGTGAAACGCACAAAATTGCTATTGTAGATCTGGATCTCCTCAGTGTGAGCTTTTACTTGATCATCCAATTGCCAACCTGGAACGAGATGAATACAAGACTGTAGCAGCAATGACAGTGTCGTGTAGAAGCGCGCAACCACACGAGTTTCAGTGATAAATACACCCTTTTTAAAATCATTCCACATGAAACTTATATTGCAAATTAAAGGATTTGTGTCCGACTTTCAAATGTCAAAATAATCCAGTCAAACTTGAATATGTTGCAGTGGTATCAATATTATTCAAGTATTTAAAAAAAAAACTGTTAGAATCAGCACAGAAGAATAATATTGAGCAATATCATTCCGTGCTGATTCTAACAGTTTTTGTGTACCAATAAGAAATGCTGTAGCAACGGTGTCACGTGATTACTTATGTGTGATGTAGCGTTGCCAGGCCGCCACAGCTGGGGGATCCCATATTTACATACAGTGTACATTGTGCTTGTTTAGCATGGACATCAAGTGATAGTCACCATTTCAACATTGTTCGTGAAAATATTTAGCCACATCAACGTCAACCACATGCAAAGAGAATAAAAAAGCTAAACAATTTCAGGGTTCTCCAAGCTTTTTCATTATAGCATGGCGGGTGCTGCCTTTACGGTCCTAGTTGCAAATCGCCGAAGACGGTTTGCGTGCTAGGGGGGTCAGGGGGCTATGATATTTAGAGTGGTGGGTGCATTTTAAGATGGCGGGGATCGACGATAGCCTGGCGGGCCGCCAGGCTATAAGTGCTCTTGGAGAACTCTAAATTTCAGAGTTCAGGCTGCTGTTTCCAAGAAATACCCAACTCCCTCTAAAACATTCGTGAATGAATACATCAAACAACTAGTGCACCTCACTTTGTCGTAGCACTAGGTAATTTGCATGGTGTATTTCATGCAGGTGTGAATGCGGTAACTGTTAAGCAATAGCTACTGGTGCGGAGTCAGTTTGCTGCAAAGAGCTGATATCAGCTACTGATGTCTCAGATGAAGGTGTTGCATGTATCACACTACATCGTTCACGATTTCATGCGTACAATTTGTTGCATCCCGAGTGATGATCACAATGTACAAGTTGCAATGTTCAATGTCTTTTCACAATGACTGACGAAAGACCTAACAAAGACCCTGCTAATGGATTGTTCGGGGTTTCATATAAGTTCATAGATATAAGCACTGACCACAATTCATTTTCGCAATGTGCGACGTGCAAATGTGGACAGCTCTTATATCCTTGGGCCCTTATATCTCTGTGAGTAAATGTTCAATTTTCAATTATTTTGATAGGAATATCATAAATCAAGAGTCCATACATTCAGCTTTAAAATGGTATCTAATTTTCCCATTAAAATAATAAATTTGGTGCGAATTCTGCCTGTTAAAAGGGAAGTTTTTTCTCACTCGCAGTGCGGTAGGACCCGCAGTATCTGCTTTATTGTGATACCTACTTCTACCTATCTAGAAACTTTTCGACCAGTATCCCTACATAATATAAGCAAAGGAAATGGTAAATTAGTGACACACCCTCAATGTGTATGGGACAACCAGGCTAACATTACACGCTAAATTTACACCCGACAAGTTACAAAACTGAAAACATTGACCCGATGATCGTTTATTCGTCGTGACACATGCGTCTAAAAAGAGGAATTGCTCCGACCTGTGATTGGAGAATAAAAATAGACCCCGCCCACACCCGCCGCATAAGCTATTATGCTATGACCGGTAGGAACGTGTACTAACTATCATATGGAGCGAACGATTTGAGTTACATTTCTATAAATTCTAGCTAGTATTATAGACACGTCTTAGCCTTAATCTCTGTGAATTTTGAGTCTATTGAAGCGTGATTAGTCTAATTAATTAGCAAATATGCACACGCGGGTATGAACGGTGAAACGAAACGTCACGAATTATATTTTTATCCTCCAATCACAGGTCGGAGCAATTCCTCTGTTTAGACGCATGTGTTGTGACCAAAGATTCTAGAGTGCCGTAGGCGATCGTTCACTCTACGATCTTTGGTTGTGACCTTACGAGTTACAGTTTCCATTCCGTGTGTAAACACAAATTAATTACGGGCAGCGGGATATGTGAATGATTAACCTAGAACACAACACATAATGCTCTTTAGATAACTGTTAAACTCACTCAGTGATGTAAATGAACAATGGCCACCGTTGATAAGTGGTTCGCACTTCTAGAAGCCACAACTAGAACTAATTAAGTACGTTGTTGGTAGCTTCTTGTTCTGAAGAATGCTGTGCAGATTGCAATGTTATTTCCATTCACTTTTGATGCGAAAGATATTTTTTAATTTAAACGAACTACCCACTCGTTAAGGACTGTTACATGAATGCCCAGTAACAAGATATAATAATTTACTTTCATCAGTTACAAGATTAGAACAGATTTAGAAACTGGAACGAATAATAAAATTTCATTACCATACTCGCAGGTTACCTCTCGGCAATCAACAAATAAATCAAGTATTCAGTACAGCTCACTATATTATCAACGCCGAAAACAAATAGCCGTATAATTTCAGTAACCCTTGAATTATTATGTATATATACTCCAGATTGTATAATATATTAACCATAATCAGTGAACTATTTCCGTATAATTCACGCAACCTCTCGATATTTGAGCACGAGTGAACACAACAATGGCGGAGTATCTTGCATCCATTTTTGGCACGGAGAAGGATAAGTACGTACTGTTTGTAAACGTGAAATTTTATAAGTTAATAATTACAACTGCGTAGTAAACAAGGTTCGTTGCCTAATAACTAACGCTTTAATGTATTTACTTATGGTTTATAACGAATATTGCGTGCATTTCAATTTCGGCGCACAATGTCAACCATCGCGGCATCGGGCCCACAGGCACTTGGACCGTTTCAATAATAAAATGATGGTTAATAAATACAACTTGTCAGTACTACTACAGTACCAGCAATAGTCTTAATGTTTGATTTTACCTAATAACTTCACTTCAACACCGTCCAATACACCGCTGCAACACATAGCCCGCACGCCATTGTGCATGCACAGATACACAGTAGGTTAGAGAAGGTAAGAAAGCGTTTGCACAGAAATTCCAGAACGCTCCACTTTTGTCGCAGCACTAGAGGAGAAATACACGTCCAAACGCCATGATATTGCCATCTGTGTGTAGCTGAATGGTCACTTGTTCGAAATATACGTCTTGCAACTTGGTACCACATACTTTACCCAGAATTATATGAGAAATCCTGTTCGAATTTGCCGCAAATTTCCTATGAAGCCGATTTGTAAACAGGACCAACAAGCCGGAAATCCCTAACTGCTCTATTATATCCTTTGACCAATCACGATAGCGGCGAGGCATCCGGGTACGGGCCTGGGGTTGGCGTCGAGGCTCATTTTGGAGTTGGGCAGGCGGATGCAACTCCTCCCAGAGTGCAATGCGCCGCCATTGCTCATGTACTTGTCCTGTTTACAAATCGGCTTCATGGGCAATCTGTGGCAAATTCGAACAGGATTTCTCATATAATTATGGGTAAAGTATGTGGTACCAAGTTGCAAGACGTATATTTCGAACAAGTGACCATTCAGCTACACACAGATGGCAATATCATGGCGTTTGGACGTGTATTTCTCCTCTAGTGCTGCGACAAAAGTGGAGCGTTCTGGAATTTCTGTGCAAACGCTTTCTTACCTTCTCTGACCTACTGTGTATCTGTGCATGCACAATGGCGTGCGGGCTATGTGTTGCAGCGGTATATTGGACGGTGTTGAAGTGAAGTTATTAGGTCAAATCAAACATTAAGACTATTGCTGGTACTGTAGTAGTACTGACAAGTTGTATTTATTAACCATCATTTTATTATTGAAACGGTCCAAGTGCCTGTGATCGGGCCCGGCGTCGTACAGCCAGGTAGCTCTAGTACTATAGCCCGCTTACATTAACTGCCGCTGGCTTACATTAACTGCCACAACTTACATTAACTGCCGCAAGCTTACATGGCAGTTAATGTAAGCGGCTATAGTACTAGAGCTAACAGTAACAGCCAGGTAGTTAGCCTTTTTTAGCCGAATGGCACTGATCATCTGATGGCTTGATTCGTTTCGGCAACTGAATCATAAAATTCTGGTAATACTAATACGTAATAGCCGATTAGTAATACTGTAATTAATATGAAAAGAACATAATCAAAACAATAAACTAACAATGTTTAATAATAAAATGATGGTAAATAAACACGAAACGTGTTTGCTGCACAGTCTTAAGGGGGGGCTTATGTCGGGCTTGCGAGCCGACTCGACTGGAAGCAACTGGCTACAATTCACTGCGACTGCATTGCTTAGGTCGGTCGACTGCGACGCGACTGCCTGCGACTGGCCGCCACTAGTTGCTCGGAATAGAACAGTGGGCAACTGGATGCAACAAGTCGCAGCCGATCGCTTCCAGTTGCTCGAAATCCAGTTGCTTCCAGTCGAGTCGGCTCGCAAGCCCGACATAAGCCCCCCTTTAGTGAATAATGTTTCTCTACTTTCTTTCGCTTATTATTTCACAAATTAAAATGTTCACTTCACAGTCACACAGGCACGTGGAACTTTTCAATAGTAAAATGATGGTAAACAAACACTAAATGTATTTATTACCAAAGTTTTGATGTTTCTCTACTCTCTTTTATCTATTATTGCTGATAATTTCCTGTAAAAACAGTAAAATGCCATTCAAATGCTCCTCTGCAACACAAGGTCACAAGTACACCACTCGACTGCCGCTGTGCACAAACAACAAGAATACAGACACGGGCACTTGGAATATTTCAATAATAAAATGATGGTAAATAAACACGAAATGTATTTTCTACAAAAGTCTTAATGTTTCTCTATTCTATTTTGCCTATTATTGCCGATAACTTCCTGTAAATGCCATTCAAATGCACCTCTGCAACACACGAGTACACTGCACGCACGCCACTGTGCACAAACAACAAGAATAAAGAGCAGGTGGGAAAGCGTGATTCCACCACTCGCCTCAAGTATACATGACTATGTTCATTAGCCAAATGGTGTCAATAAGAATTTTCGATGATAAGCAGACAGAATCTCTGGTTACACACAGAGTGTGTGTTGCAGAGGAGCATTTGAATGGCATTTGCATATAATTATTAGGTGGTAGGGAGTACACAAACACAGACTTTGGTAGTATTATACAAAGTGCTTATTGACCATCATTTTATTATTTAAAACATCCCAAGTCCCTATGGTTTCTATTCCACAAACGTTACTGCATACACAGGTTTGACTCGAGTTAGAAAAGTTTCATTTCTAAATGCCATGAATTCATGTGACTAGATTTATAATCTTGTTGTGTGCGATATCTTTATACTCCAAATATTTGCAGGGTCAATTGCTCTTTCTACTTCAAGATAGGAGCATGTCGTCATGGAGATAGATGCTCTAGAATTCATAACAAACCTACATTTAGTCAGGTAAAACCACACATCAAATTGTATTGAAATATATGCTCACACTTGGCAAGTGAAACGTTGTGTATTATTTGCTGTATTAATTAATTACTTATTAGATGTTCGGAGTTAAAGAGATGCATAAGATGTTAAAGATGTTATTAGATGTTATATGTTAGATGTTATATTAGTTGTTAGATGTTATAAACATGTTATTAGATGTTAAAGAGTTTGGTCTGACATGTATTGGTCTCTGATGTTTAGGATTTAAATCACACAAGTAATTCTTGTTTATATGTAAAAATTGTGTTTTTACAGACTATTGTATTGATCAACATATACCAGAATCCCCAGAACAGTGCGCAAACAGCCGATGGCTCCCACTGTAAGTATAATACTATCGTGGCGTGATGCATTGTTGCTTTACACACAAATATCCACCAACACACGGTAATAGTGAGGAGAAAACCAAGAACCACCAAACAACCTTGTGAACAAGGATTTGTTCTTGCTGAATTTTTAAATAGCTGCAGCAACTATTATAGCATGTGTGTGTGTGTGTGTGTGTGCATGCGACGGTGTGTGTGTTTGTGTCTGTGTGCATGTGCGTGGGATCTATGCCTGTGTATACAGCAGAGGCCATCCTTAAAAAATTATATGTTTGCTGTCCTCCGACCGACCCACGAAAATAGCCGCGACCCAAAAGTTTTTTTTTACATTTTGGGCTCCATATTTTTTTCATTTTTTTTTTTACATTTTTCATAGTTAAGACTGAAACACAAAGCATGTGTGGCAAACATGAGGACAGACTTAAAATAACTATTATGCCTCACACAAAAAATGACCTACCTACCCACTAAAAAAATCATGGGTCGGGGGACAGCAAACATAGAATTTTTTAAGGATGGCCAGAGTGTGATTTACTGCACACAGACTGATACCATCTTTCTATTTTCCTATTTTTTTCTTTTCCTATTTCAGTGGCGGGCATTTCCGAGGTAGAGGTACAACAGCATTACGATGATTTTTTCGAGGATGTCTTTGTTGACGTCGAAGAGAAGGTATGTGTGATGTAGTGAGTGAATCAGCAGCAATTGCCATGGTAACTTAAGTATCATTGTCTGATATAGAAAATTACCAGGGGCCCATTGTCAGAAACAAAATTAGTCTTAAAATCAGTCTTAACATTAACTTTGACTCCTAGAATGTTGACAGAAACATCGCAAAGTTATGAGAACAAAAAAGCCATCAAATTTCCTCTCAACATTACGAGATCCTAGAACCTCACATAATTAACTTAATAATTTGCTTAATTATCTAACTGTGGGTATCATACTACATGATATCTCTATCATCGACCTATACAATTGTTAAAGGAATAATAGGTCTATTGATTATGCAATGTTGATGAATGCTAGAGTAACTGGCACCTTGTGTAGTTAATAAGTACATTACCTTATAGCCAAACGCGTATTAGTTTGTCCAATATCACTGCTGGTTACTAAGAAATGTCTAATTGAAATCCGCAGTCCAAGAAATCAGTTGACTGAGTTGTTTACAGTTTCCATGCAGTTTCAAACCGCTGGGTGTAATACAGATTTATAGTGCACCGGACATTTTTGCACGCATGCTCGGCCGTATGCAATGCTATCATCAGTGATTTCGTAAACACGGACGCTCGTGATAAGGAACTTTTTGTCAGGGCTGTCCATGTACGTCCGTGATTAGTACGTGTGTTTTACTCCATTTCCATGTTTAGTCCGTGGCCGTGGTTACACCGCTGACACCTCCATTTCATCTGGCATCCAGAACATACGGGCCGCACAAATGTTTACGTCATCGGCGACTTATCGCTTGACTCCTGGATGACATTTACGGCACGTAAATGAATATCAACAACCGATTTCAAGTCTTGCTTGTAATGTAACCAGCAGTGATATTGGACAAACTAATACGTGTTAGGCTATAAGGTTACGTACTTATTAACTACACAAGGTGCCAGTTACTCTAGCATTCGTCAACATTGCATAATCAATGGCCATATTATTCCTTTAACTACACAAGGTGCCAGTTACTCTAGCATTCGTCAACATTGCATAATCAATGGACCTATTATTCCTTTAATAAATAACACTGATAGTAAAAAGAATATATCCAAAAATTACTAGGAGAGTTATGTCCGAGTTTGATAGCACAGTATTTCTGGATGACTTACGAACTAACTTTGCTGGGATTGATTTTAATACTTTAGATCCGAATGCATCTCTCTGTAAACTTACAACGATGGTTAATAATGTAACCAGTAATCATGAATCTATGAAGACCCTATCACGAAGGAAGAGTAAATTTGCTTCAACTCCTTGGCTAACAAAAGGTTTAATCAAGTCTTACATTTCTGCTCATTTTCCGTTTCATAACATATAACTGCATGAATTTAAAATAATTTTCATGCAGAAGTAATCGGTATTATATGTATGCTGACAGGTGAGCCTAAATTTATTATTTTTTCATTTATTTGCATTTATTTGAAAGATGATCAATCTAATATGCTGTGTCTGTATTTAACCAACCAATACTACTTTTCACACATGATTTTATGGACAGAAGTGAATAATGAACATATAAGAATTCTCCGAATGCATTCAAATCGGTTAAAAAAAATAGGTTGTTAATTTGTTGTCTTCTGGCTTTTCGGTGGCTGGTCGGTTGTTCTGGGTTGTTGTCCTGCTGGTCGTTAATTTGTTTGGATTTGTTATTGTTTTTACAGTATGGAGAGATTGAGGAGATGAACGTGTGTGATAACCTGGGAGACCATCTCGTTGGCAACGTCTACGTCAAGGTATGTAACTGTATGACCAGCAGTAGTGCGAAATCCTCGGCGAAACATTACCGTACGCGTCTACGCGAGATGTATTGCGAAAGCAGATATGCAAGTACTCATTATGGCTGATAGAGATAATAAACATGTTTTGCTCGTGGAAGTGAGCATGTTGCTCTGTTTAGTTTCATGTACGTGATCAGATACCATTTAAAACGATCCTAACTTAACTACAGACACTTGCTATTTAGCAAGGAATGCTGGAAAGGCTCAAATTGTTGGGTTAAGATGAAAAATCATTGCTTAATGTCACAATATTGAGCAAGACAATTTTTCCAGATTTGCTTCAAATCCCAACCTGCTGTAGAAATAGCTATGCTAGAAAAAGCCGAGTGCCTATCCTCCTCGATCGCAGCCAAGAGGCCTTTGATAAATGCAACCGTGGTTAAATGAACCTTTGTCTATTAATTAATTGTTCTATTTAATTATCTAGTTTCGTAAGGAAGAAGATGCGGAAAAGGCCGTAGCGGACCTGAACAACCGGTGGTTTAACGGGCGGCCGATCTATGCTGAGCTTTCTCCAGTGACAGACTTCCGTGAGGCGTGCTGCAGGCAGTATGAAATGGGGTGAGTAGCACTAGCGGGGATCCTTACAGACTTGCTGATCCTGGTGGTTTTACGTGGTGATCGTATGGGAGATGGGGGGAGTAGCACTAGCGGGGATCCTTACAGACTTGCTGATCCTGGTGGTTTTACGTGGTGATCGTATGGGAGATGGGGGGAGTAGCACTAGCGGGGATCCTTACAGACTTGCTGATCCTGGTGGTTTTACGTGGTGATCGTATGGGAGATGGGGGGAGTAGCACTAGGATAGATCCTTAATGTTACCACGGGGACAGTGGGTTTGCTTGCGTCACCGGTAGAGAGGTAACGCCGCGGGGAAAAACAAGTGGGCTGACGGGAGAGACTCGTGAATTTCAAATTCATTTTCAACTGTTGCATGAGGTGTTTTATCTTCCTAGCCTAATAACACCAGTGGTCTGAATCTGCTACTATGACTATGGCTACCATATCTGTTACTACTACTACATTTGGGGCAAATAAAACATTTATTGTCTAAGACCACATTTATTCAGTGTTTCGAGGTGGGCAGGTGGCACTAACAGGCTTCCGAATGCATGGGAAGAATTGAGACGTTTCAGAAACTGTGGGTAGTTAAATTCTTGTCTTCAGGGAAGGAAAACATGTTCAATACTAGATGCCATTTTACTTGCCATGCTCGCAAAATAAAACAGACAATGCAAAACGGTTTTTTTTATCCGAAGGTGATGTAAATTATTTTGATGGTAAGTATATTCTAAAATCACAAGTTTGGTATTCCATAAATTCCCAAGGGAGAATCAGCGATAAGTTATTGGCATACATACACAATCACCATGGCACAGTGTGTTACTATTTGTAACCTGATAGTTTATTTTCTACGTGTCAATGTTTCTCATTTGATAAGTGGTTTCGGGGTTAAGGAGGCTTGGTGCTTTTATGAAAATTTCCGATGAAAATGTTTCCAATAACAATGACAACAATGCGATGCACAGCCTGGTAGGTCCACAGCCACTTCGTTGGTAGTTGGCAATGACTGTTTGTGTTTTTCGTGTTTTTGCAGCGAGTGCACGCGTGGCGGGTTCTGCAACTTCATGCACCTTAAGCCGATCTCACGAGACCTCCGTCGAGAGCTGTATGGTAGAAAGCAACACAGAGGAGGAGGAGGAGGTGGCGGAGGAGGAGGAGGAGGAGGAGGAGGAGGAGGAGGAGGCGGCGGAGGAGGAGGAGGAGGAGGAGGAGGAGGCGGAGGAGGAAACCGCAGGTATGAAGCATCGTCATCTCTGTTATTGACTACATCTGTGTTCATGTTCACCATTATTGATTGCTGTAATTGTGAATGCTGAGATTCTGTCGATATATCTATCAAATCGATACTGTGTTCGCTCGTTTTTTTGGCGTTGCTAGATTACAGATTGATTATTAAATCTCAGTCGTAGTATTTCGTTATCAAGTGGGTGTTCTTTATGGTAATTCCTTTAAGGTGTGTAATTTTTACTTGCCTGATACTGTATATAAAGTTGATAGCGTTACATGTCACAGCAATACATACAATAGCATTACATATCACAGCAATACATACGTTAGCATTTCATGTCACAGTGTATACGATAGCATGATGTACAGCTGTGATAAGAGCATAGATAGGAGTGCGATACATAGTCAGCCGACAGTCTTGCTGACATTGCAATACCGGGTTTTGTATTAGGTCGCCTGTGCATCGGTCGAGATCCCCACGCCGCACATCGAAGGGCCATGACCGTGAGAGACGTGGGCGCTCACGCAGCCGCGATCGCAGCGACCGCACCGACCGCAAGCGATCAAGGTCACGAGAGCGTGAAGGTCGCTCGGGAAGATTCTGAACATCATGGATCTCCATCGTCTTTTCTGTGTTTTATTGTCATAGTAGAGGTCGCGAGTAATAGATATATAGAACAGCCAGTTGGTCGGTTGTTGGCAACGTGAACTCTTAGCATCTCGCAGTGTCACATGTGTAAAGCTTTATTCCTTATTGTTCGTACCTGTATGACCTCTGGTAAACTCGGGAGAACTACTTACCAACGTACAGCAAAGGGCGTGTGCCTTCTAGTACTTCTACTTGGCGTATCTATGGTTATTCAAATTATGCAAGTGTTTCATTAACCTGATTACGAATGTCAGTTGAGAGTGCGAGGGGTAATTTTTGACGACTATGTTTAAACACAGTCCTTAGCAATTTCTCTACATGTTTTTATTTCTGATTATTTAAAGGTGAAGCACGTGTGTAAAGCATTTTTTCTTTGAGTGTATATAAGGTTAACAGGACTTTATTACATAAGCCATGTTATCAAAATTTGGTATTCGCCTAAAATAACCATTGTTCATCGTAATTGTATGCGGGAATTATTCAGTAGCGGGACCAACTGGCAGTCTTATGAGCACGTCGAATGTTGCGATTTTATTTTTGTGAAGATTGAGCGGAATGAATTCGGTAACCGTGTCGTGAGTTTGTGTACAAAAATTCCATAGTACTAGTAAAAGCATTTCCACCTGCGCCAACGTTCAAGTGTCGTCTAAAATTCCAGAACTACGTTACTATTGTGTCATTGTGAATTTCCAAACTTTCTGTGGTCCTCGTGATTCGGATTGATGTTGAATGCGAATTTGAGCGTAGTGCAGGCATGCGCCCCTTGTTGGTGGTGGTCGCGCGGAATTGGCCATACTTGCTTTCTCGGTGACTCCAAAACGATGTGCCGGATACCATTGAAGACGTGGCGCCACCTGTAGGAAAGTTTCACCTTGGTTGGAACATGGGAATGGCAACAGCATCAGGAAAGTGTGTGCCTGGTTAACTCGCCACGAAATGTTGCAATTTGTCTGTGTTACTCTCATTGTGAGAGAACATTGTTTGCGCAGACCCATATTTCACTTGATTTTCGGTACTCTACTGGGCCTAAAGCGAATGCACTGTTTGTGTGCACCGTACGTTGGTTTATAAGGCTGTTTTTTGTGCATGGGCGTACGCACATTTTAAACACGTGTCAGTTTCAGTAATAAACATTTTGTCTCTAATGGAAATGTGTTTTCAGCCGCAATGCACCTTTCAATTTTGACACCTTTCATATTTCATTCACATGCCAAAAATTAGCAAAATCCGTTGAACCTGAACTTACTTATGGCCATTTCAATTTTTGCCAAAAAGTGGGCGTGGCTCGAAAGTAGGTCAACTGGCGTGCTCCAAAATAGGACGGTCACATCTCTCCCATAGGAGTAACAACAGTATGCAATTTGAAACATGTGGGTCAAACGGTTCTTCAAGTTCTCATCGTTGATCGTATCCAAATGTTGACGGACGACGCCATATGGCAATAGCTCATCTTGACGATGTCAAGGCGAGCTAAAAATTAAGGAATTTCAAGGGCTGTGGGAACCCTGGACATAGCAACGAGAAGGTGCGATTGTGTATAAACAGGTCGAGCGTTTTCTAGTAATACTGTCATCTCCGTCAGGAAAATATCTATACATCTCTTCAAGAGCTAATAATACCTAGGTAATAATAGGTATTATTAGCTCTTGATATCTTGAATATACATGGTCTTGGTTCAAGGTACATAATTATGTTATCAGAAGTCCCTGAACAGAGTATCAATATACATGTACTCCTCCTACTGCTATTTTATCATCTACCACCACACAATACAGACCACAAAGCTAGGATGGGGGGATACATCGGCAATTCACAGGGAAACGAGATTAATAGCACCTGTAGGTCGTGAATATTTTTTTTAATCAATGGAAATCTGTAATTCGTACATTATGGTGCGGTCACCACGCATAAAACTGCCAGGAGACTGATTAGCACACGAAATCAACGTAGCAATCTACAAATGTAACCTCAACATGTACGTGCGTGAGCCAGGGCAGTGGGCTGAGCAAATTCCTAGGGGGGGGGCAGTGGCGGATCCAGGGTTTCAAGGGGGTGAGGAACCGGATGGGGGGTCTGGGGGTCCTCCCACAGAAAATTTTGAAAATGTAGATCGCAGGAGATGGTATTTGAGGCACTTTTGAGTACATGTACAGCCTTGTTTCTGACTACGACAATTCTCTTTTAGTAGAACAATTTATTTTTTTAATTTTGCTCCAAATCTAGGTGGCAGCTGCCCCCGGCAGGCTACGCCCCTGAGAGCTTACCGACAATGCATTTACATCGGGAAACTAGGAGCAATTCACAATTTATGGACCATTGTTGAGTCAACGGACAAGCTTGGAACACACGTGTAACAAAACCATCTTTCCATCCACGTGAAACTGCGTGAACCCACAATAAACTGACATCCATCACACGAACCATTCTAGGCAACCGAATATTTCAAGTCGGACGATATATATTTATAAATTCTTATCACGTTGGGTACCGGTACGATACCAGTGGACATCGTAAATGTAGATAGATGTAGCTATAAAACTCCTGCCACACTACAATGAGTGATATAAATTTAGTACCATACACGTTCAGGGAATAATTTTCCCGGTATCGCATCGCAATTCGCGATGTATTTTCAGCCATTTGCTACGCATATTTTTTTATGAATCGCAGTTGTGCGATGCAGCCCATGCGAGATGTAAACGGAAACATACATGTTTACAATTTACTTTTATTCTCGGGCTGCTTTGCCGCGTCAATGAAATGCCACGTTACGCCGATTTTATTGATTTGTTAACACCACGGCCAACGTGACTTTTAAACAATCCTGCACTCCCCCCCCCCCCCCGTACATCAATCAATATGCCGCCCCAGGCACGTATACACAGCCACGCTGTGCTGGCGCTGCACGCTCTCGCGGGCTGCTTTCTTCGGCGACCTTTGATAATATAAAGTGAGGATGTCGTGGTCGAGGAGTCAGATAGCCGCCCTTCACAATCGCTAGAACTGTATTTCATCAATGTTTGGATATATAACGTAAGGAACCAACATTTGATTAAAGTTCTAGACAATTATTTTTACTCGCCAACATGGGCGAGTCAGCTTTAGCTTTCACTCGCCCGGCCCCATATTATTTTCACTCGACATTGGCGAGCGGACGAGTGCCAAGCTCGCACGCTGTTTAAACGCTGCCGGGCAGCGTGCAGAATCGCTAGTGTGTCCTAGGCTTAAGCTAGCTGTGCCTGTCACAGGCAGACACGATAACACGCCAAGCATGCACTGCGGTGTAAATTTGCACTGATTGTCTGAAAAAAAATGCTATACAAATTTATCCAATTGCTATGCAAAATTTATTTTGTATAGCACATTTGCTTTGCAAATTTTTGGCTGGAAATTGTTCCCTGACGTTACCGAAGTGTTATCTGACACTTATCGTACAGCTTATGTCATTCATCTAGGTGCGACAGATATCAGGGGCGGATTCAGACCGTATTTGCCGTATTGGGAAATACGGTCTAGATTTAAAAGTGCCCTTCGAAAGTTTGCGCTCAAAAATACAGAAAACAATTTGATGGAATTTGGCTATATTCTTTATTTGTTTTCTTTTTCTTCTGATTCATTGACAGGACAGGAAATCAAAATTTTACATGGTAACAAAACTAGCTTTGATATCTGAAAAAGAAGGGAAGTGCTTGAATCATTCTGCATTCATTGCTGGTATGCAAAGCGCAGGCAAAATAAAGCAGAAATAAAATTCCATATGGTTTTTAGCTATTGCTGCTTGACTAAATGTGGGCTCAAATGGTGCTCATTTTTGTTGTGCCCAGGGACCCTTGAAATTTTGAAATTTGCCACCCACTGTGGGGTGGTGTGCCCTTTTTGAGGAATGTGCCCTCAAAATCTGGAAAAATACTGTCTAGCTTCAGCCCTGGATCCGCCCCTGGATATTTGAAAAGCAAGTGATGACAGATCCGAACCCATTAGGTTCTGGACGTTATTCTTTGTTATATAAATAAATCACGTTCTTTCTAGTTAACGGGTGATCACGAGGTAACACAGATGACAGAATTTCATTAAGGTACCATTACATAAGCACTCATTCAATATATACAAAAGATAATTGTACATCATACATAATATCATAACACTACCTAATCATTCTATACCATAAATTGGGATTTCACAATAAAATTGCACATGACTTCACCATTATTTTCAAATTCCTCAAGGAAAACCTAAAATCTCCTTTATCTAAACATTAAAAATTCCAACACCGGAGAGCAACACCGATAAATATATTTGATGTTACTATCATGTCGGAGCGAGGGCTGTGCATTCAGGAGGGAGAGGGGTGCACTGAGGAAGAACGTGCACACTCAGGAGGTAGGGGCGTGCATTCAGAACGGTGGGGCGTGCATTCAAGAGGAGGGACACGAGAGGGGGGCGACATGCACTCAGGAGGGAGGGGCACAAGTTCAGGGGGTAGGTTTATGCATTGAAGAGGGAGGGGCATGCGTTGAGGAGGTAGTTGTATGCATTTCAGAGGGAGGCGAGTGCGTTCAGGAGAGAGGGACATGAATTTAGGAAGGAGGGGCACGAGTTCAAGATGGAGTGGCATACATTCAAGGAGAAGGAACACAAGATCAGGAAAGAGGGGCGCGCATGCGTTCAGAAGGGCCATGCGAACAGGGGGAGAATGCCCTTCTAAGGGTGAGGAATGCGTTACTGAGGGAAGGACGTACATGACTGAGGGAGGGGCGTGTATTACTGCAGGAGAGGCGTGTGTTCACGGTGGAGGGGGGAGCAGCGGCGATCGTTCGGTGGAGCTGCCAGTGCTCCGCGCACGTCGGCACGTGCAGTACTTCATCCACCACGAATTGCAGTGCTCGCGGAAGACGCCAGACGACGGAGCGTCCGTGCAGCGATCGATGAATTCTGACAGGTCGCTCTTCGGCCAGCCGTTCTCATAGTACTCCTTGATTGTCTCGTACGAGTCAAGGATGATCGCGAGCACGAGGCTGAGCACTACGTAGATGAAGAGGCTGATGAAGACATAGAGGTACAGCCTCGCGAATGTCGACACGAGAGTGCCTGCGTGCGTGCTGCTCGCCGCCGCAAATGTCGCAAACATGTCGTCGCCATTGATAAGCGCAAAGAGGCACTCGGCCGTCACGCTGACCGAGGCAAACTTGCGGTGGTGCGGCCCGAGTACGGCCCAGCCGCACAGCGTAAAGCCGCAGTACATGAGCAGGCCGCACGCTAGGAAGCGCAGCACGTTGGGCAGCGCGCGGCGCAGCGTCAGGATCAGCACGTTGTACTTTGGAAAGAACTTAAGGTAGCGCAGCAAGCCAACCCAGCCAAGCAAGTTGCCCGTGCCGAGCATGATACTGCAGCCATCGTAGCTGTCACTGCGCTTGTAGTCGATCTGCATGCGGATGACCGTTCCCACGACAATGAGCACATCATTGACAACAATCATCACGTACCAGAGGTTGACGAATGCGGCACGGTCAGATGGCGACAGCTCGCGGCCAAAGTGCTCACGGAAAAACGCAGCCGTCTCGCGGCGGAGCTGCAATGCAAGCACGATCGAGCGCAGGCAGAGGACAGCTGACGCGATGCAGATAACCACGACAATGATGTTGAGCAGCAGCACGAGTGCTGCCTTTGTCTTCGTCAGGTCCGCCCCGTCACCCTCGTCGTCAGCAGCAGTGACGACGTCGTCGTCATCGGCTGCGGCATCGTCACCAGTGCAGTCACGCCGCTGTTGCGACGTTGTCAGCGAGACGGGCAGCTGACCGTTGTGCGCCACATTGTCGTAGAGGATCTCGATGTCAAACTCAAAGCAGTCGGGCATCTCGTACGGTGATGCTGTCTTCAGGTGGACAGCAGTGAGACGCAGAGAGAGCGTCGCCGACACGAGGTAGCTGAAATCAATGGAGACGTTGGCGGCGGCAAGGAACTCGCGCGACGAGAACGTAAACGTCTTGTTGATCGTGTCCCAAGGCAGCACCGCCACGCAGGCGGTCTCGTGTGGCCACCGCCGGCCTCCCCTCGCCGCATGCCCAGCATAGCTCGTCTGGCAGAACGTTGCAGCGCCAGTAGCATTGGCGTACGCATACATGCCGATGGAGATGTGCTCTACCGCGTGGTAGCGCGTTACGGCGTGGTCCAGGTGTTCGTAGAATTCGTCGACTTCGTAGAGTGCATAGGCGCCGGTTGACGGCGGGTAGGCATTGGTCTCGCGCGCAGCATCCCAGCCACGTAGGAAGAGGTGCTCGAAGGCGATCATGTTGCCTGTGACGAAGTCGGCGTACGAGTAGCGCGCGTTGACAAACTGTATGAGCTGAGCGGTGACGACAACGAGCTTCAGCAGCTGGACAATGAGCTTCCACGGACAGCGGTGACGCGCACGCCACTTGTCAAGCGGGTCCAGAAAGTGAAACTTGAGCCGCCGCCGCAGGCATTCCTCAGCGTGGAGGGACTCACAGCTCGAGTTCACGGAGAAGAGGCGTGTTGGGGTAGCACCCTCGCACGACCCAACGTTGGACTCTGTCCCAGCAAAGGCCCGCCCAACAATGCTGTCCATCTCGTCGTCGCTCTCCGATGTCATGGCAACGGGATACGCACACGGCAGGTAGCTGCAAAAACACAGATGCTATGATTTTACGCGTTTTTATTGCCGATAATTTCCTGTAAATGCCGGTCAAATGCTCATCTGCAACACACTAGTACATCGCACGCACGCCCTGTGCACAAACATCAAGAATAAGAGGGTTCTCTTAGGCTCTTATTCTTGTTGTTTGCACACAGGGTGTGGGTGATGAGCATTTGACCAGCATTTACAGGTGATTATCGGCAATAATCGGCGAAATAGAGTGGAGAAACATTAATACTTTGGTAGTAAATACATTTCGTGTTTATTTACCTTTTTTTTTCATTGAGACGTTCCAAGTGCCTGTGTCTAGCTAGGTCTAACCCACACTAGCTCTAGTACTATAGCCCTTCGCTCTGCCGCAGGAGCGAAGGGCTATAGAGGGTTCCGCGATTTGCAGTAAAATAGCAATATTACCTACAATCCCGTGCCGCCGGCCATACTGGTAGTCAGAATTGCGAACACGTGTTACCGATATGCGCAATATATAGCGATTTTACATCGATAGATTGTACATACGATAGTGTTAAATTATAGTAATCTATATTAGCAGTAAGTGGATCCTGCTTCTGCAGACAGGTTTACCAGCGCGTGTTGGGGTGCTAGAGTTTGATATGATTGTACAGGTCCGGTTTTGCAGGTCTTTGCATGCAGGTTTATTAGCGTCGCGAGATTGCACGCAACACATATGTTCATATGTGACATATATTCATACATATGTTCATATCATGGACTTGAGTTTGTTTACATTGCGAGTGTTCAGCAATTTTACCGATTTTACTGCATAATCAGCATATAGCTATCAAACGCAGCGTTTTATAACATCTGGTGTATGCACATTTGCCAACTGTCTGAGGTGTACGTAGTATGGACAAGTACTTTGATTCACTAGACAACGTAGCCAAAGTATGCTATGTCGAGAAAATTGCGTGCATTGGGAATCGACACCTGTACGAGAATGGAGCGAGGACCACAACTTGTGCCCATCACGATCTCGTGAATTGACTACCTAACTGTTAGATATTGTGACATGTGTTATTATTGATTGAGACGTGCTGCCATCGGGTGGTCATCTTTGTAACTTTGCGATGTTCTGTTGTTTTGAGTGTTGTATAGAAATAAAAGCGTGGAGGCAATGTAAACCTGCCTCAAACGTAAATAGAATTTGAGCCTCCGTTGCCGTCGGAGATTGGATTCTTACTAAATCTAACATGGTCCTTCACTTTACCTTGTGTTGTGATCACGCTAGGCAGCCTAAAAAAGCTGTGTGGCTCTCTCTGATACCGATTGCTGCAGTTGACAACACCGCAGGAGAGCGGCGTTGTGATGGATTTGCTTAATAAGCGAACAAAATTAGCAGAGAACAGTGCGTTGCTCAATGTACTTGTACCATGTCTAAACTGGTTTCTGAAACCGTCATGGCTGGCGGCATTGCATTGTGAGTAATTTGAATCGGGATGGGCAATCGCGGAACCCTCTATAGGATTTTTGCACCAGGGAGAAATACACATTTTACATACCAGGGTATTTGCTTATTTAGCATATATATGTCATGTGCTATTTTCAATAATGCTGAAATGCCTAGCTCGTAGAGCACGCGCGTTACGTCTGAAAGGTCGTTGGTTCAAATCCCATCTGTTTAGTTTTTATTTATATTTATTTTTTATTTTTCTGTTTAGGGTTAGGTTAGGATTAGGGTTAGGGTTAGGGTTAGGGTTAGGGTTAGGGTTAGGGTTCACAATGCGTATACATGTGTAAACATGTGTATTATCAGGAGTAGATAATAGGGAAAGAGTGTGACTTCAATAAACAAGGGAAATTCGTCATTTACTAGCCTTAGAATACCTACGATTTACTACGCAACTCAACCAACTTGAGCTCAAATCATACACAGTACATTCGCCTAGCATCGTGCAAAATCGTTTCCTTGTATACGTCCTACTAACGGATACATACCAGCTGTAAATAGGTCAGATTAGCTCGCCGAGTGTTGCATCGATGTCCAATCTCCCAGCAAGCCACACCGCCTCGCCGAGAGAGCAAGCTGTGGTTAGTAGCTGCCTTTTGTTTCGAGTTAGGCGGAAAATACATTCGGATTGATGGCAACAGAATGGATAATCGTGTCGTACGTTTTAGTCTGTATCTCCGGATTGCGGGCGTATACGAGGAAACGATTTCGCACGATGCTAGGCGAATGTAAGTGTGTATGATTTGAGCTCAAGTTGGTTGAGTTACGCGTAGTAAATCGTAGGTATTCTAAGGCTGGTAAATGACGAATTTCCCTTGTTTATTTGCAAGTCACACTCTTCCCTGATTACTCTACTCCTGGATTATGGACTCGCAGCGACCCGAAGTTGCGCCACTACCGTTCGGCTATTTTCTCCCGGTACACGATTCCCACTATAGTACTACTAGTGCAGATAAGGTCTAGATGTCTGACCCTGACCTCTGTTTGACCTGGCTCGTTTAGCTATTTCTGAACTAATATATACATATAAATAAATTAATAATAATATTATAGCAGTTAGGGGGTAAACATAAATTTAGCGTCTATAAATTAACTTGCAAAACACCACGCCAGGTGGCGCTACGCGTCAATCAGGCGTTTCCGGTCGTATCAGTAGAAACATCCGTCAGCACTCTCCGTTAGTTCTGGCACAGGTAGCGAAGCGGAGCAGTGTAGGGAGGAGGGAAAGCGAGGGGAGGGAGGGAGGTAGTTTAGCGTAGCACTAGTAGGGTGGAGTCAGAAAGAAGCTAGTGACAGAATAGAGGAAAGGGTGAGAGGGGAGCTGGTGGAGAAGGAGGAGGAGAGAAGCTGGGGAGGAGAGGGGGAGAAAGCTGGTTGGAGAAGGAGAAAGGGGAAAGAGATCGGGAGAAGCAGAACGCTGGTGTAGAAGAGAGGGGGGAGAGAGGGAGACAGCTGGTGAGGGAGAAGGCAGCGAGGGGGAGAAGGCTGGTGGAGAATGAGAAGGGGAGAAGGAGGAAGCTGGTGGAGACGAGAGAAGTGGTGGAGAGGAAGCGGAAAAAGGTGAGAGGCTGGTGGTGGAGGGGGAGAAGCTGAGTGGAGCGAGAGGGGGAGAAGCTGGTGGAGAAAGCTAATTTACGCAGCATCAGCGCCATCTGGCGGTGGCGTTTGCAAGTTAATTTACGACGCTAAACCTGATGTTTTCCCCTACGGGCACTACTAGTACTAGTACTACTAGAGCTAAACCCACACTATCTCTAGTAACTATAGCCTGCGTACAGTTGCCGCTGGGCAACCGGCAACGGGCCAGCGGCAACTGTACGCGGGCTATAGTTACTAGAGCTAAACCCACAGGCACTTGGAACGTCTCAATAAAAAAATTTAATGGTAAATAAACACGAAATGTACCAAAGTCCAAGGTTCTCCAAGAGCACTTATAGCCTGGCGGCCCGCCAGGCTATCGTCGAGCCCCGCCATCCTAAAATGCACCCGCCACGCTAAATATCATAGCCGCCATGCTGGTGTATGTACATGAGAAGTTCAAACAATTAATTAATACACGTTGGTCTCGATGCTACGGGTACGGCAGTCCCACACACAAGTACAAATAGTAACCCTATCCCTATCCCATATTACCCACTATACATATATCCCCTATACCAAAATTAATCTATGGTGTATAACCTTTTGCTTTAAATATTTTGCATCTGAACTGACAATCAATCCCAACCAACTGGTGTAGGCTAGCTGCCACAATAATGTTCATTTTCATACTTCAAATCCGAGTGTTTTCTAGCTCATCAAGGAATCTTAATCGTGAATTAAATCATGAATTAATTTCCAACGGCACCATTACGAGACAGGTAACCCAGTCTAACACGAGGTAGAGTAGACTGGTACACTTACCGACCACTCCTGCCATTGTCAATGGTGACAAATTTTTTTATTTATGAGAGGTGAACTCGATTTGGAACCAGCAAACCAGCAAGTTCACCCCTACATTTTGGTATTTTTTTCCCATTAATTATTTTGAATTTTCCGATGGCTTTGCCCATGCAAAACAAACATTTTCACCCCACATGCAGTGCTTCAAATTTACACACAGAGTGTACCAGATTGCATCTCAGAGCTTCAGGGGGGTCTAACGGAGCCCCCGGACCCCCATAGTACTGAGTACCACCCACATGGCCCATGCTGTAATTTAAAAGCTTGGAGAACCCTGAAGTCATAATGTTTCTATACTCTATTTCGCCTATTATTAATCACCTGTAAATGCCGGTCAACCTATTCATGTAGTTTGTGCACAGGGCGGGCTAACCCGACCAGGCTGTGTGACTAACGTCAATACACCATTCTAACCCTATTCTAACCCTGGTATTCTAACCCTAGCATTACCGTTTCTTGGAGCAAAGGGCGGGCGTGCGGTGTACTTGTGTGTTGCAGATGGAGGGGGAGGACAGGCACACGGTGGGGCGGTGTGACGTAGGCGGTACCCGGTGTGGGACTGCACGGTAGCGGTGTGTGTGAGGCCGGTGTGCGGTGTATGACTGGGCGGTGTGTATTTTTTTTTAGTGTGTGCAATGCCCTACGTATCTCTTGCATCCGAAATTATTCCATGAAATTCAACACGAATTGGTTTAAATAAATCGATCGAGAGCCTTCAACATGATATGACTCTGACTACAACTCAACACATGGTCCTAGGGGGAACGGGTGTGAAAGGGACAAAAGATGGACACAAAGCTGTTTGCCAGTTCTCTCAGCCAACAGGAATATGTGCTGATAGTACAGTTGATAAGCTCTCATATTAGAACAATTGTGCATTTTATGAGAAAAGCATGAAATTTCTAGCAT